TGTTCACGCAGAAGCATTTTGATTTCACAGCATGCTACCATCTTACAATTAGCATAAAATTTTTTCGTATAATATAGTATTACTTATAAATAAATATTTTTCCTCCCATACACCTCTTATTGTGAAAGATGTGATGAAATTTGTTTCTAATGATAAATTCAAAACTGCAATGTATAACTGAGTAATTTTTCAAGAATTGTATTACCATTTCAGTACTTTTTAAACAGTTTAATTTTGTAGAGATTACCTTTTCTTATTATAAATTAAGAAATTAAAATTGGATTAAAAAACACTGAGAAGATACAATACACAATCACATTTTTTATCACAATAAACAAGTGCGGAACAATGGTTTGATTTTTTATAAAGAATATTTTTTATGATTCAATATATGAGATGATATATGTGTGTTGCGTCCGCACACATACACATACACATTGTACTTCCTATTACAAATTTATTGCATTTACAATCATAGCAATTGGCATTGTTACAAATGAAATCTCGTTATCTTGCGATCGTATGCAATGATAGGTAGAACGTGTATCCTGAGAGGTGTATAAAATCTTAAGAAACGCATACAAATGACTTTATCTATCATGCACTACTGGTACTATATTTACATATTTTTTTAGTCAAGTTTACAGTAGAGTAAACTGAATAGACATTAGAATATTGAACGTGTCAATCATTTAGTTAATTCATATTATTTATCTAATAATTGAAGGAATTATAAGAACAACAGTTAAATTTGAATAGAAATGTCAAAATAGCAATAGCAATTTCCAGTTGAACTTTAGTTATTTTATGAACACATAGAATTTAACAATTTGTGAATACGCGTAATTATGAGAGATCTCGTTATTGGCATCGAGGTGAATTAAGATGGATTACTTAAACGGAATACAGCGTTTATTGTCTGACAATACGACTACAAGTAGTATATCATAATATGGGAGCATATATACATTGTGTATGAAACCGAATGAAATATCAAACAGTTCCCATCGCCCTGTGACGAAATGAGAAAGAGTACGGAAGAAACGACGGAAGAGGGGAGAAGTCCCTTTCATCGTGAACGAACAAAGAACGTAGCGAGACATCCGGTAAATTTCGACGAGATCGCATCTACTATTAATACACACAGTATCACGCCGATTGCACTAATGATATGTACGATGGTTGCAAAACGTGTTGTTCCAAGCGTTAAACGTTCGTAATAACTATTAGTATTACATGTATCTTTATTACATGTATCATTATTACCGCTCTCGATCCATACGAAACCATTTATGCTCGATTTATGCTACCAAGTATAAATTTGACAGAATCTTTACAAATATAGTTAAAAACCAAAAGAAAATGCGCATAAATAAATATAAATAATAATGTAATGAAATTAAATGAAATCAATTATTCGAGTATTACTCGGCGGAATGACGAGCGACTGCGTGTAAGATTATTGATTTGCAATATGTTTTATACACAATGATTTGCATTCTCAAATCAAGTATAGATCATTTCCAAAAAATCATTCTTTAAGAATAAGGTTAATTTTGGATACACATAACAGAAATACGAATCATAAAATAATTTAAACGCATTTATAGAAGCTTGAGAATAGGAATACGTGATTAAAAATTAAGCGCAGTTCAAATTTGTGCAATAAAATAACTTTTTTATCACTTGTCACTCGTAAAACTTAATCTTTGTAATATTTAAGAAAATTATCGTGACAATATATCCGTGTAAGTTGGACACAGTTGCACGTTATCGACGACCTTTCTCAGCTGTCAGCGTGGCGAACGTTTCAACTCGTTATGCTTGCATGAAGGCGAGAATTAATGCTGGAACATAATTCAGTAATAACATGCTAATACATAAGATATATTAATCAATATTAGTAGTGTCGAACAGGTGAGAAGAAATTTTACGACCGCGGAATTGAAAATGGTCGAGTGAGCACGATCGACATTATTTCGACACATGTATGTTCAAACATGTATATACGTGCTAATAGATCAACAGTTTCACTTGCGCTATAATTAGTTTGTTGTAACATAAAATCGCAATATTTTCTGATTTATGATACAATTGGAAATATTAACAAATGTGAAAGAAGATCATAGGATATGATTCCCCAAGCATTTTATGATCGGCTTGACGATATTTTGTCGCATCGGTGAATACAGAATATATAATATTACTTATTTATTCTTTGCGTCTCTGCGATGTGAGAGATGTTACTGCTAAAGCACATGTATCTATATTTGTACACGCGATTCGATCTCACGCTCGCGCGATATTCTTATGCAAATGGTTCAGCTAGCATACTGCAGGTTGTAGAATGATGAGCGACTGCGTAAGGTTATCGATGAGGAAGGTTAAAAGAACAGACACGGACTCGACCCTTTCGTTTTCCCACCGGCGATGTCGATATAATCCTCGATAATCATACAAAAGATGCAAAGACTATTCAGCCAACTTCAATAGCGGTGCGATTAACGTTTAGATAAACCATCTTTTTGAGGAAAAAGTTGAAGGGCTTGTGATCGTCGATGCATTGTCTTGATTATTATCTTTTAATTAATGACTATTTATGCATATTTTATTACATATGATACAAGATTCTAGCCGAATATGATGCAGTGATGCAAATATATATATTGTACAATATTAATCTTTCTGCTTTGTAACTGACACTTTGTTATTCTCATTCTCCTTTATCAATTTTTCTTCTTTTATTCTTTATTTCCTTTCTTATCTGTAGTTTTATATGATTGATTCTTGTGCTGCTTTTCTTTTTTTTTGCCGTTTCTTTGCTTTTTGCTTTTTTTAATTTTTTACTAAGATTCAGATAAAAGATTCGAACATATTGTTTGATTTGTATAAACAGTTTAAATAAAAAAAAAGCATTGAATTCGAACTTAAGTAGTGATCCGCAATATCAATTTGTTGTTTGAAGATTTAAATAGTTTGGATAGTAAAAAAAATTAGAGCAAACGTAATATGTATTATAAGCGGAAAACAGCCTTTTGATGAAAACTTTTTTTTTGTTTTTACTTAACTCTTTGCAAATATGACAATAAAAATGTCTGAACTGATCAATCGTCTAAAAATTTCAAGCACCATCTTCTACATGTAATAGAATAATATTATTCTTTTTTGTTATATAAGATTTATAATTTATTTTATTTACAATTTTGTTTATAACTCAAGTGTTTTAATATATGTATATACTTATTGACAATACTATCTTTTTTCAATCATATGTAAAATCTGCTTTTGTGTAGTCAAACATTTAATGAAATTTCTCTAGAAAAGTATATGATCATAATTACTGGTTATTATGTGGCATACCAATACAGTGTTTATGAATCATGTTAGGCTAGAACATATAATTACGAGTATACAAATCATGTTTTAATTGTTGTTTGCGAGCGAGAAAGAATAATATAATCGCCACTGTCGAAGTTATAGCATTCTTTCTCCCGTGAAGAGCATCAGGTCCATTTCTTAGATCTTCTTTAAAAAATCTGATCAAGGAATGTTGTGTCTTTGTCTCCGACTCCCTTATTATCGGACTCTCTCCCAATCTAATGATTCATGTGATTCGACATCGACGATACTTAAAGGTAACTTCTTCCGTGACATTAAAAAGGCACTCCCAGGCTCTTGTTGCACCGGTCCCTTTGCTTGCAGTTTCACACACCGATGTCGAATGTAGAAACAACACTGCACTAGCAATAACGTTCCATTTCTGTTGCATTTTACGAGCGAAAATTAATCTTTTATCTCATATTTAACGCATGTTTAATATTTGCAAAATCAATTCTTTCTATATTACACCTCTTTTTAATTTCAATATAAATTATTCTTACTTGTCTCTATATGAGATTATGTGTTTATTATATTTTATTATTTATTCTTCTTGTTATTATTGTTCGTTATTTTATTTCATGTTATTTATTCATTCTATTAATATTATTTATGTATAAAAATTAGGTAAATATTTCAGAGAATGAGAGGTTTATTGTTAGAAAAAGAGCCGAATATTTTAGGACATTCTATATATATATCTATCCAATATCTTATTTATTTCCCTTACTTTTACTCGTCCTTCATGAAATAATCAATATGACTTTGTACCTTTCACATAGGATTATCTATTAAATTGCAAATATATAGATAAAAATGAATAGAGATAATTTGTGCTTCTTGGATTATTATCTTTTAATGCAAAGTAAGAAATAACACATTCTCTATCTAGTTGTGTTTCTCGTCTTTATACATGTCTATCTATTTGTTCAAAATATTATAGCTATTGATAATTGTTTAGTCTTTTAAAAGATGTGTGTCGCATCTATATCGATGTCACTTATACTTATGCGAAAGAACATGGAGTGCTTATTAAGAATTAACTTAAAAAGAAAAAATATATAAAAAAATGTGCAATAGCTGATTTGAGATAAATAAAATTGAAATAAATCTTGGTTTATATATAATAATGATAAATGTATCGTATGTATACACACATGCACGCGCACATAGTGAAATAAAAGTATAAAGTATATTTTCTATCATGTTATAATTGTTGAATACTGTTAAGATGTGAAAAAGGGCCAAATATCTAAACTTAATTATCAACGTGTTAACGAGAGTGTTTATATTCAACTGTTTATAACTAATTATATTTAACTCGTATGTGGCGCTTTTTTCGGACAGCTGTTGGTAAAGAGGAGTGAGATGAAATAAAAAATTAGAGAATGGTGCCCTTATAATAAATAATATTTATGATAAATCCATTTCTTTATCTATACGCTTATGCATCTATGAAAATTTGTCTATAAATACTCTTATGTTTGTATATACGTTTTCGCTAACACAGATCCTAAAGTCCGAAGTGAACGACACAAGCGCCACTTATAAACAGTGGGCTTGTTCGTTTTAGCTGCACTGGGGCAGCTCTGGGTCTGCTCTAAATAAGATAATACAGGACAAACTATTTATCTGTCCTGTATTATCCTGTGTAGAGCAGACCCAGAGCAGCCCCAGTGTAGCTAAAACGAACAAGCCCAGTGATGGCACATAAGATACATCTCGTAACCTCGGAAGTCAGGACGTGTCCACAATCGAAAGTGAGTGCACTTGAAAAGAAGAGTTTCGCCAGCTTTCGTTGAAAAAAATGCCGAAGAAAAAAAGTAAAAATGCCTTCTTTTTCTTTATGAGTGACTGGAAAAAACGCGCGGAAGCGGAAGGTCGTGAATTTCCGAATGGGTTCAAAGATGTTCAAGCAGATCCAGATTGTAACGCGGAATGGCAGGTAATGGCGTATTTTACACAGGTTATTTTGACACACGTGTTTTATATCGGTACTAAATTCATATTAAATGGTTTATTTCCCTCATGGTCAATGTAGATTCAGTGCGAATATGGTACTATGAATATGACTTTTACTCATTCAAGCTTTGCAATTCAGTAGATATGTTTTTTTAATAGAGTTTAACTAAGCAACAAAAAGGACCTTACGAAGCCATGGCCAAAAAAGATAAGATTGCATCACAGATATCGAACGCAGACAAGAAAACAACATATGGAGAATCTATAAATATGCTTGATGAAAAAGAAAAAGAACAACGGAAATTAATGAAAAACATGCAGGAGAATATAAAGTTAGCAATTGATTCAGCTGTAAAACTCAATAGTATGTAACATTTTGTATTATAATTTAATATTTATTATAATTATTCATATTTGGAATGAAAAGTTACACTACAAATAACATCTCTTATTATTACAGTTTTACCAAAACTGAAATTTTGCTTTGTACATGTAAATTGGTTCTTCTCAACAATTGTTGATAACAATATTACATACTTTCCGGCTGAATATGCAATAGGAGTATTTTCACTGGAGAATGGCATAGAAGATGTTCATCATGTAATTGTTAGTGCTAAAATTCCATTAGGATTTAGACGGGAAGCACTGGAAACTAGTCAGACAACTCATAACATACCTGTGGAATATCCAGGTGGTGAAACTGACTTTGCTACTATGTACAGGAAATTGGTTGATTTCTTAGAGCCTAGGAAGACTCTGAACAAGTATCCTCCTCTCTATACAACAAATAATTGTATGGGAGCAGTACAGTCTTTGTTAACACGGTTAACTAATGCAGCACGTAAGTGTATATCTTTGCCGCAAAATAATTTTATAATTTAACAATATAAGTTTGGTTAATTGTAGATTTTCTTTCTTATTTCTTTTTACTGTCTCTCATTGCTTTTCTATCTATCATTCTATCTCTCTCTTTCTGTGTTTTATTTATAAATGTATGTATCATATATTAAATGGATCTATTTTTACTTTAGAAAAAGACAGTGAACAATTTAAAGTTTATGAATTGGAATCATTGTTTATACATTTGGCAAATGAAGCTTATAAAAAAAGAACAGATCGAGAGATAAAGTATATTCCTGCTTATGCCAAACATATATTCACACGCTTTACATATATCTTTGAAAGTGGTTTTGAATGTTCTGTAAGGCAATTTTATTACTTTATAATATATATTTTTTTTCTCAAAATGTGTATAAATTAAATTAGTAACAAAATTTTATAATATATAGTTTCACAAATTTACCGATGGAGGATGCAAATGCTGCAGTCAATCTGTGCTACAACAATGGGCATGGACATTGTGCGAAGAATTTTGTAAACCACTTGAAGTAATTATGCGTCCAAAAACACATTATCCCATCAAACCTGATTCTACTCCTGAAATGACATATTCAATGAGTAACATGAAAATTGAAGATGATTCCCAACTTGAAGCTGAATCTAATGCAATCTTATCTATGACAGGTGTAAGTATAATAAATATTTGAAATATATTATAGGGTGTTTAGTGTGCAGCAATATATCAAATATAACTTTTTAATATAGTTTTATAAATGAAAGTTTTATGATATTATCATCAATGGTTATTACTAATATATAATATATTTTAATATAGGTAAGCGAGCAACATAGGTTGAAAGTTTCAACTAGAACATATCAAGATGAAATTCGCCGTCGTAATGACTCGAAGCAAATAGAAGTTATTGATCATAGCAAATTGGATGTAGCTGGCGATAAGGCTGATAAATGCAAACAAAAATATGTATGTATATTTTAAAAAAATTTCTGTATTAATATGTTCAATATCATTTACAAATTTCCAAACTTTTTTAGTTGGATGAAAAATCAACTAGATTGCCAGGTTGGATGCAACCTTCGAACAGCGGCTGTAAGTTAAAAAAATTTATTTAAATTATATACAAATAAATAATATTTCAATTTATCTGTATTGATAGATTGATGAATTATCAATATTCATCACATTCATATTGACTGATATAATTTTTTTGTATACTACTGTATTTTATTGCATAATGAACATTCTTCTATCTATATATATTTATTTTTAGCGCTCTTTGCTAGTACTTCTACCATGAATTATGATAAAAATGATGAAAAGCACTTTCCTGTTATTGTTGGTAAGTTACATATATAATGTCAATTATATATTTATAGTATTTTATACATGATTTCATGTGTGTATGCGCGCGCGCACATTTTAAAAAAATAATATAATTAATAATGATTTATTAAATAAATATTTAATTTGTATGTAGCTGGAAGAGGTATATCATTCAGATCTCAAATCGAAACGGCAAAAGCGCCTTTGGGCAAAGGTAATATTTTGTCATAAGTTTAATACGTTTTCTTTGTTTTATGTAAAAACTTGGTACAATTTTTACAGGACAAGGACATTCATAGGCCAGATTTTTTAAAAGGAAATCACTCATTAAAAAATTATTTATAATTAATTATTTTTTACAGTGAATACCAAAGTGTATTATCAAAAAGTTTTTTTAGTCCTGACGATCTGAAAAAGGATTTCACTTAATAATTTTATATTCTATTAAATCTCTGATATCAAGTTTATAATTAAGTTTATAATTAAGTTTATTTGAAAATAATAGAATTTCTTGCACACACTTATGTTTATAAGATACATACATGATAAGAAACAACTGTATAATTTTATTGGTAAAATTGTCAATAAAGGATTTGGAAATTATTTT